TTTTATAGTGGTTTTCATCCTGAAGTCTGTTTTATCAGAGATTAGTTACCACAATGTTTTGTTTTTTTATGCCATTGGCTTGTTATTTTTTCCCCAACCGTTGAGTGTTAATTTATCTTTTTCTGTGTTTTTTAAATGTCTCAATTGTAGACAATGTATTGATGGGCTTTGTTGGGTTTTATGGTGTGGGTTTGTTTGGTTGTTGTTGTTTTTTTTATCTATTTGGCTACTCCTTTTTTCTTGATTGGCATATTTAGTTTATTAAGTGTGATTATTGACAGGCCAATTTTTATCATTGCCATTTTGCTGTTTCTTTTTCTGTTGTTTCTGATTACCATGGTCCACCCACTTTCCTTTGGTGTCTCTGTATGAAGGACTTCCCTTAAAAGTTCTTGTATATTTGGTTTTGTTTTCACAAATTCCTTAAGTTCCTTCTTTTCTGCAATGGGTCTAATTTCACTTTTATATATGATGGAGAACTTTGCTGGATACAGGATCCTCAGATGGTAATTGTTTTCTTTCAACTTTCTGTATATGCCATTCCATCATCTTCTTACTCAAATAGTTTCTCCTGAAAAATATGAACCTAATATAATTGTTTTTCCTTCATAGTGACTCTTTGTTTTTCTCATGCTGTTTTAATATTTTATTTTTATCTTTTATTTTGGAGAATTTGACATGTCTTGATTTTTTTTTTCCTTTTGCGTCTAGTCTATTTGTTGTTCCCTGAGCTTGTCAAATGTGAATTTTCTTGTTCTTCAAAATACCTGCAAACTTTTCTTCTAATATCACTTCCACAATTTTCTAAGTGATTTTCCTCTCCCTCTCATATTTTGGAATTCCAGTCATACATATGTCATTCTTTTTTATATCATTCCATGTGAATCAAAGGTTTTCTTCATTTTCAAAATCATCTCTGAATGTTGAGGTTCTTGTGTTCCAACTCACTGACTCTCTGCTCCATTTCTTCAGTTCTACATTTTTTTCCCCATCTGTACAGCATGTTGGACGCTTCTGCCATTTCAGTCTTACTACTCTGGATTTCATTTCCATGCATTTCTGTTATTTCCAGTACTGTGTTGGCTGTACTATCTCTACCTTGTGATAATTATTTTAATTTTATAGCTCGTTATCTATAATTTCTATTTTTTTTCCATCTTTTGCACTTTCTTCCCTAGTTGTGCAAGTTCTTCCTCATTGATATATTTTTCTGGCCTCCTGTCTCTGAAGTATTTGCTTTCTTAATGGCTTCCATTGTTTCTGCTATCATTTGCTTCTTCTTCTGTAGCTGTTCAAATCTCTCCTCATCAATGTATTTCTTCTGGTTCTCTACCTCAAGAGTATTCTCTTTGTTGGCTCCCATTCGTTCTTCCATCATTTGTACTTTTTTTTCATAGCTATTTGAATGCTCCATGTCAACCTATATCTCCTGCCTGAAAATGAAATCCAGAATATTAAGACTGAAATGGCAGAAGTGTAAAGTTTTTCTTGATAAGTGTTAGTCCATTTCTATTGTGTCTAGGTAAGGTGTCAGTTGTTGTTGTTGTTGATTGCTGTTGAGTCGAGCATGACTCATAGTTACCCTATGACCAGAAGGCCTGAAGCCTTTTTATAATGATCATCATTAAAATTCATAGTTTCCAAAGATATGTTGTTTAGGAAGTGGATGCCATTTCCACTTCCAAACGTTGTCAGTAGTTCTTACATTAATGATGTTAAAATGTTTGATCTATGAGGTGGGCCATTCACTCTACTGAAAGTCCTTTCTAGGAAAATTTGTCTTTCCAAAAATTCTTCAGGTTCTTTCTGTTCTTCACTATAGCTCTATAGGAATCTCATCTTAATGTAACCCCTCTTCCACATTTTAGTGTTCTCTTTTAACTATGGCGTGGCTGAGTGGTGTGAGACCAGGTGCTCCATTTAAGCAGTTTCTTTTCACGGGTTTTCAAGTTAGCTCTCATCCTCACAGCTCAGTGTGTTAGCTGAGAAAGTCTTTTCTCTGCTTATCATTCTCTATCTCAAATTCTCTTATTATCTTGTTTGTGTACCTGGGATGTCCCTGCAACCATGGAGGCAAAGATTACCAAAAGGAGGGTTCTTTCCCCAGGAAAATTTGTCCCTTTTTTCCCCCACAAACATCTAAAAGTACTGGCTGTGGGGAAGAGTATTTCACCTGATGATGTTTTTTCTCCTGAAGCCTAACATCTTTGTCTGTGGAGTGGCACGAGATCAGAGATGCCAGGTTAAGCTGTCCACGTGCAGATGGGGTTTCCTATGGATGGTGAAGAGATTGAGATTGTTCAAAGTTTTAGTTTGCTTAGCTCCACAGTCAACATTCTTAGCACCAGCAGTCAGGAAATTAAAAGACGTATTGCAATGGGAAAGTCTGTGGTTAAAGACCCCTCTAAAGTACTGAAGAGCAATGATGTCAGTTTGGAGACTAAGATGCACATCATACATACCATGGTCTTTGCAATCACTTGCTATGCATCAGAGAGCTGTACAATGAATGACTAGGAATGACAGAAGAAGAATTGATGCCTTTGACCTGTGCTGTAGGAAAAAGAGTATTGAATATACAATGGACTGATAAGAAAATGAACAGGTTTGTCCTGGAGAGGATGAAGCCAGGCTGCTCCTTAGAGGCAAGGATTCTGAAGCTTCATCTGACATACTTTTGGATATGTTTCAAGGAGGGACCAGTCCTTCTAGAGGGACGTCATGCTTGGGAGGGTGGAGGGAAAGTGCAGGAGAGGAAGACCCCCGATGAGAAGAATTGATTCAGCGACTGGGGTAACGGGAGTATGTGTGTCAGAGACAGTGAAATTGGCATAGGAGATAGGGCAGAGTTTAGGACAATTGTACATAGGGTCACTATGAGTCAAGGCAACTCGATGGCAAATAACAACAAATTTTAATAAAGGTTTACAGAAAGTTTGGGTTTTCATTCATTCCTTTTTGCACATTTTCCTCCTTCTCTCTTCCTGCCCCCTCCTCTCTAGTCCACTTTGCAATGCATCTTTTGTACCAGACTGTTGTCATATATATAATGCCTAGTCATACATTACTAGATGTATAAGTACATATGTAGTTAGTGGGCATCTAAAAATTCCACTATTTTACTTATCTCTGGCAATTTTAAGTTTTCTATGAACCTTCCCTATAGGCAAGTCTCCAATTGTTGTTATGTGCCATCAAGTTGATTTCAACTCTTCTTCACCTCATATGACAGTGTAGAACTGTCCTACAGAGTTTTCCAGGCTGTAATCTTCATTGAAGATCACAATGTCTTTTTCTTTCAGAGCTACTGGGTCATTTCAAATCATAACTTTTGGTTAGCCGCTGAGTACTTAACTATTGTACCACCAGGGCTCCTTATATCTCCCTAGACATATATTTTAATAAAACATATAAAATGTTTGAACACTGTTTCCTCCTCTGTCCTAGTCTCTATATTCTGTGGATAAGACACTAGTGTTGCCATCGGGATAGAGAAATTAGTGTCTGCATGGTGGAAATGGTTAATACTCTTGATTGTTAGCTGAAAGGTTGGAAGTTCAAGTCCATCCACAGGCATCTAGGAAGAAAGGCCTCGAAGTAATCTGGTTCCCAAGAAATCAGCCACTGGCAATCCTTTGGAGTACAGTTCTCAGACACATGCAAGATCACCACAAAACTGGTAATAATGCCCATTGAATGACCTGAAACTGGTGTTGATGGAAAGCTTAGTAACAATAATTTATGAATCAGAGTTAAGTTTGCTGTGAGAAGAATAAACATAAATTTTCTATAGAACACTATATGGTTGAATGCTACCAATGATGTGAAGGCAGAAGAGGCAATGAGGAGACCATTAAGACCACTCTTAAAAAACAAACAAACAAACAAGACCACTCTTCATCAAACAGCTGCTAGGAAAATTGCTGAATCTTTCAGTAGCCTGGTTACCAAGTCCCAGAGGGGTATACACCTGCTTATACCTTTAAGGTAATTTTAACTAAGATTTCCACAAATTAAGAGGAATTACATTTGTAGAAAAAGATGCAGGTTCTAAAAAAGAGGAGATAATGACTGAGCAGATGAATCCGGAAATTCCCTTATCTTGGCTATGTCTCCCTGATTCATATAGAACATAGGATATCTCCAACCTTCATCTCCCTTTCTCCAAATAAGTATCTTATTCCCAGTTAAGGTACAGGTCACAATAGCAAACAAACCCATGCTGTTGTGTAATTGTAAAAGATGCTTGAAGTGAAGTTGAGGAAAGAGGGGTGAAAAAAGACATATCCCAAAATAAATTTCATTTCTAGAATGAAAATGAATTTGACACAATCAACAGAAACACATTAAGTTTTATGCAAAAAATATTTTTAAATAAATTTTTGTCTTTTTTTTTACATTCTGATATACATATGTAACAAGGTTTATGGCATTATTACCAGAATCAGATCAAAAAAAGAACAAAGGTACAAGACATGAAGGAAAAGAATTTGTTTTATTTCATTCTTTTCTATCTCCAAGCTGGCAAATTTGCACTATTTTATCTATTATTGGGCTGCCAGCACTAACTTGTGTATACACTCAAAACATCATATTATTGCACAAGAAGCCAGTGAAGGCATATGGTACAATGATAAAAAATGGGGGGAGGGAATCTCTTAAACCAAAAGAAGGGGGAAAACCCAAAAACAAAAATCCAGAGCATGAAACACACAAAATCAACAGTACACTTTGTCTCCTTAAAGAATGTGTGAATGAAGGGTTCTACATTAAGCTGCCCTGATCTTCTCTCTGCATCTGTGAGTACTGCAGAGCATGGTTTGGTTGGAATTTGCATTTTATGTAGATGGTCAGGCAGCCCCATGGCTTCATGTACTTTCTCCTTACTTTTGGTTCTTTGTCATTGCTTCAGAGTGTAGCATCATAGGTCTATGAACCTGCACAGACTATTTAACCACAAATTCTACAAACAGTGAAAGGAAAGGGGAATAATCAAGTTTTATCATATTTTTATTTTTGACTTTAAAAAAATAATTGACTCTTTTAATCTTTCTGCTTTCTCATTTGTAGGATGTGAACCTTAGAATCGATGGCATCAACAAAGACACCATTGGCACCCAAAATGAAATGCTTCTCACACTTTTAAAAAATAAATTTCTGAACAAGTCTGTTTTCATTCACAAGTCTACCTCCGTCTTAAAAAAATATGAGAGAAAGAAAGAAAACAAAAAACAGTCTTTTTTTCCCTTTGTCTCTAAAGAGGAGGAGGAATCCTTTCCCTCCAAACCATCATCACACGACTGTCTCCACACCCATCAGCTTTGGTGTAAGGATTCGCGGTGTCACACCATTGTTAAGGTCTTCCTCAAACTCTAGCAACTGCCCCATGAAATTAAGGTTTGGGGAAATAATTGGTCGTTTGCCTTTGACAAACTTATAAGCATCAGTCATGGTCATCCGAGTGTGCTTCATCAGGTAAGCAATGACGATGGTGGCAGAGCGGGACACCCCGGCCTGGCAGTGGATGAGGAGTCCCTTTCCACACTGGTGTGCTTCCTCTGCAGAGAGAGAAAGACAGGAGGAGAAGGGAATGAGGGAATATGAAGGAAGGAGAGAGATTAGATTCTCTTTAGACCAGACAATGCTTTATTTTGTAGTCAAAGAAGACATGTAAATATTATTTTTTAAAGCAAGTATAATTTCCCAATGGATTTTGTTTGTGTAGGCCACAATCTCTACAGTGAATTACAGTCAATATTAAGCTGAGTAAGGACATGCATTCCTAGATATTCTCCATTTAAAAAACAAAACAAAAACATAGGAAACTAACTCTGGTGACCTAGTAAGTATGGAGTTGTGCTGTCAACTCAAAGGCGTGATGTTCAAATTCACCAGGTGTTGTTGGAAAGAAGATGGGCAATCTCCTCTCATGAAATTGAAAACCTCCTGAAGAGTCAGTTATGAGTCAGTTCCAACTTTATGGAGAAGTTTAGGGAAAAGCATTATCAATAATATCAGTTTGCTTTACAGATGATGGCAGCATAATCCTATAACACAATTAACCTACATGTTAAGTGAGCTCCTAATTAAGTAGACTTTCAGTAATCATGAAAGGAGTCTTAGTGGTGGAGTGAACTCAATGTTGGGTCTTAATCTAGGGGCTGGTGTTTGAACCTAATGGCCTCTCTGAGGAGGAAGATTAGGCAATCTGCTTCCTAAAGACGAGAGCCTCAGAAATCCTATGGGGCAATTTTACTGTCCTACATGTCATTACAAGATGAAATTGACTTGGTGGCAATAGGTTTTAATGCCTATGAGTTGAGTGATTTGACAATAGTAATCATGTAGTCTTTCTCTCAAATATTTTGGGGTTTTTTTGTGTTTATTTTTTAGTTCATATTATTAAAATAGAAGGAGAAATAAGAAAGAAGGATGGAGAAAAGAAAAAGAGAAGGAGGTGATGAGGATAGAAGGGAAAAAAATACATATACATCTATGCATATGTGGTTACTTTTATGTTTAAAAATTTTGATTCTGATTGCCAAGTTGTATGACTTATAAAAATTAGTGTGATTGGTAAAAGTCTTTCCAAATGATGAAAAACATAGTATGTTTTCTTTGTTGTTGATTGCCTTGGAGTCAATCACAACTCATAGCGATCCTATGAACAAAAGGCCTGAAGCCCCCTACAACTATCAATATTTATCAGAGTTCAAAGGGTTTCCAGAGGCATGTTATTTGGGAAGTGGATGCCACTCCTGCATCCAATGTTTTCTTTAACATACTGAAATGCTGTATACAGGATCTGATATTACATGGATAAGTTTCAGCCTTATTAAATCTTAATTAACTAAGCTTAAAGAAACAAAATTTGACTAGAAACTCAAGAGACTCATGTTTAGCTTCTTGCCAGAAAATGTAATTATTTTAAGGTGAACTAAAATCTTGTAGTACTCAGGCACATAGGGCCCTACACCTTAACTGTTCTGCTCCCTTCACATCCAACATGGAGATGATGTGGAAGACTGAATTCCAGCCATGGCTCAGGATTGAGAGCAATTGAAAGAGGCCCTACTTTTTAAGTTTTCAACATATTAAATGCTCAGGTGGATGCTCTCTGAACATATTCTTAGTGATTCTTCTAGAATACATTGCATATTATAGAAAGTAACCCTGCATGAACACCAATTTAATTAAACAAAGGAAAAGAAAAGGGAGGGGGATTAGAGTGACTACCCACCAATGAGCCAATTAAGGGAACATTATGTAAATTTTTGTCCTAAAAATCTATAGATTAGGTATACGTCTCTCAAAACAGGCAACACTATTTCAAGAAGAAAGGTATCTCCTATATTCAATATTTTCTTTTCAGCATTACATAATGCTAAAGAGTTGCCCTGTCAACCCAAAGGCATGCAGTTCAAAACCACCATCTGCTTCTTAGAAAAAAAGATAGAAGATCGCCTCCCATGAGATTAAATGTCTGAAAACTCATTGGAGGACCAGTTATGGGTAGATTTCAATTCAATGGTACACAACAACAAACCAAAATTAAACTGCCTGGGGTAAGAACAGGATCTTCAAACTGTTAGGTCTGATTCATAACTGTACTTCACATGAGCTGAGTAACCTTTTGAAAGTCAGGAAAATCCTTAGCCTCAATCAACTTGACTGATCAGTAGAGATACTATAAGCTAAGCAGTTTCATGAGTTATAAAAATGCATTTCAGGAATTATAAATTGGTAATAGTGGCATCCATTTCCTAAATAGCTTGCCTCCAGAAACCCTATGAACCTGGAGAAAGGATGAAAGTTATACAAGTGTCCAGATTTTTCATTCATAGGGTTGTTATGAGTCGCCTACAACTTAACGGCACTTAACAACAATAACATTAAATAAGAAAATAGACTCTGAGCAGTTTTTATTAGACTCTTCATAAATATTGTTTAAAAAATTCTGCTACATTTTCTCTACAACTGTGAGATTTCAGTGCATTCAATTTACTTCAATGAAAATACAAATGCACCTAGGTAGACTAAGATCCTGAATTGTTCTTCAGGCTAAAGCTGGTTTGTTATTTATGTATATTTTCCCTTTTTAAACAGGGGGGAGTCTGAGTAATCTACAAAAAGTGTGGAAGACTTGGTTGAAATCCTTTTAGTATATGTGCTGCCGAAGCGAGCACAGGTTGAAATCCTTTTAAAGCTTAACAATAACAACAATAGGAACCCACAGTCTTTCTGCAACCACCAGAGCTGTCAGTGGTGAGCTAACAGAGCACTGTGAGCACTTCTCCGTGATGCTGCAGAAAGGTCCCTGGCTTGAGTCAAGAGTCTTAGGTTCTGGTTCCTCCTCTGACACAAAATTCCTTTAAGGAGAAAACTTACTTCTCTTTCAGTGACCACTTGGTATTTTCTTCTAAACATTCCCTAGTCCTGAGTTTAAGGAGTTTAGATACAATTAGCAAGGGAAACAGCTGGGCAATGTGATGAGAACTCTTAATTCTACAGCAAATCTACCAAACCCAATGTCTCTTAAATCCAAGGCTCTATTCCTGACAAAAGCCACTGTTGTTGAGTGCATTGAGGTGGCCTACTCATAATAACCCTGAAGGCGAGAGTACAGCATCCTTAAAAGGTTTTCAAGGCTGTCATTGTCACAGAAGTATACAACCATATGTTTTTCAGTGGTTTCAAATCACCAAGTGTCTAACCATTGTGCTACTGGGGCTCTTTTTGTTTTGTTTTCTTTTTCTTTCTGACAAAGGAGTATCATATAAGTAAATTCTTCTGGTACAAAGATTCAGGAACAACCTGCAGCAATATTTGGACACAGTATTGTGTTGCTCTTTTATCTTTAAAAAAATGGTGGTGGAGGGCTTAGTATCACTTGAAAACCAAGAGTTCCTCAGATAACAATTTAAATCTTAAAGCAGTTCAAGGCCATGAACATGGCAGAAGTTACCTTTAGGTTACTATTTCTTTCTAAAGGTGAAAGTCAGCTGTGTAGACCCTATGTGGTTAACTCAATCTATAGTTTTAAATTTTGAGACAGCCAGAGATGCTTTAGAAGGTCTGGCGGTCAGACAGTGACAATTTTAAGTATAACATGGGGTCGCTATGAGTGGGAATTGACTTGGTAACAATTGATTGGCTGGTTAAGGGCTAGAATGTTCCTTCTTGGAAACTCTGTAAACTACAATAATTGACCTTTCTTACTTCAGTAAGTTAGGGATGTTGTTTTTTGTTATGGACCATTGAGTCATGAATGACTCATAGCTGACTCTCCAGTAGGTTTTCAGAGGCAATTAATTACATGGGAAGACACAGTTCATCTTTATCCAGGGAAGCAGCTGGTGGATTCAAACTGCAAGGCTTGAGGTTGGCAGCACAACTCTTTTCCACTAAGCCACCTGAGTTCACGTTAAAAATCAATTATGCAAATAAACCTAGTATCATCTCACTAACATTTCTTGCTGCTTAGTATTTAAGAATTTAGAGTAAGAGGTTAGAAGGAAGGCCAATCCACTATCCCCACCACCCTCCATCTAACCCTTCACTTTTCTCTCCCTCCTTGTTATTATTGTTGTGTACCATGGAGTCGAGCTGTGGTGCTGGTGAAGAGTATTGAATGTACCAAGGACTGCCAAGAAAACAAACAGATTCATCCTGGAGAGGGTTAAACCAGGCTACTCTTTGGTGGCAAGGATTCTAGGGCTTCGTCTGACATACTTTGGGCATGTTGCAAGGAGGGACAGGTCCTTGGAGGGGGACATCATGCTTGGGAGGGTGGAGGGACAGCGCAGGAGGGGAAGGCCCTCTATGAGGTGGATTGATTCAGTGACTAGGGTAATCAGGATAGGTCAGAGGCAATGCGATTGGCACAGGACAGAGCAGGGTTTAGGGCTGTCGTACATAGGGTCGCTATGAGTCGCAAGCGACTCGACGGCACATAACAACAACAGCAACAACAACCACCACCACTACCATGGAGTCAGAACTGACCCCTAGCTGGCCTTCTGATGGGTTTTAAGAGGCAATTAATTACACAAGAGGAAAATGCCCATCCTTCTCCTGTGGAGCAGGTGGTGGATCTGAACTATGTGCCTTTGGGACTGCAGCACAGCTTCTTGCCACTAGGCCACAGTAGGCACTCTCTATCTTGAAAATGTTTCGTTAGAATCAAACCTTCCGCAGATGTTGCCTTTGCCTCACCCCCATTCAAAGAGGCCATGCCAAATTCAAATTAGTTTTACTCAAGGTTGGGAAATAGAAACATCTCCTATGCAAAATGAGTGCAGCTTAGTAAGGTCATGGAGAGGTATATGCTTGTTTAGATATGGTGTCAAATAAGCATACAGAAACTATTTTTATATCCTACAAGACACTGGGGCAATAACAGGATGGAACATTTGTTTTAACTTCTAATTCCATACTTTGCATAAATTATTCTTGTAGAAGGCAAATCCAACCCATACACTTTGGGCATGTTGTCAGGATGGGCCAGTTCTTGGAAAAGGACATCATGGATAAAACAGATTGACACAGTGACCATGGCAATGGGGTCAGGTGTGTCAGAGATGGTGAGTCTGGCTCAGGATAGGGCAAGTTTCAGAGCCAATGTTTATAGAGTTGTTATGAGTCATAGTCAACTCGATGGCACAGAACATTAACCACTTTTTCATTTAGCGCTTTAAGAATTAAAAGATCTAGTTGAGCTGACCCAACCCTATTGAATTGCTTTTCATTTACACACAACCTGCAGGCTCAGGTACACTTGACTGGCTATAACTTAGGAGCACCTGCTGGCTGCATCATGTTGTATGGGGGTGGGGGGCAAAATACCTCAGTTTAGCTTTTCTGAAGCCCAGGAAGAAGTCTTGGACTAGATATCAAAGCCCCAGCCTGAGGGAAAGGAAGTCAGAAGATGAGTGATCCCTGTGGGAGATAGTTACCAATGAACTCAAAAGCCTCTTCAAAGTACTGCCTGAGGTTCTGCTTGTTGCTGTCGGTGGCAGGCAGCCTCTTGTAGTTGAACAGGCCTTTCTCATAGTGGTAAAGGGGAAGGTGAGTGGTGACATTGATGACATAACCGATGTTCAGCCGCTGCATCGTGTCCAGGTCCTGAGCATTCTGCTCGTTGCCAAGGAACAGAAAGGGCAGGATGGGGGTCAGCTCTGCGTTCTCGATGTCAGGGGTGGTGGGGATGGACTGAGGTAGAATGCCCGAGGCAGCAGATGCGCCACCCCCAATCTCCGCGCTCTCTTGGAGCTGGAGGGAGTTGTCACAGAGGTTTTCATGGTTCTGCTTAAAACTGCTAAGTCCACCTGAAGCAAAAACATAGAAAGAAAAAAGATTACCCGTAAGGCTTCAAAGCTAGCAAAAAAATACCCCCTCTCCAGAGAAATGTGTGTGTGTGGGGGGGAGTTTGATTATGTGTGGGTCGTTTTGGGTTTGGGGTTTTTTCCAAAGCCAAGGAAAAAAATGAGAGTGCATTTGGCAACCCAGGCCAAGCTTTGGCTGATAGTAACTGTGGGTAGTGTTGTGTTCTAAAACTTGCTCTTTGAATAAAGTGGGTATGTTCCTCTGAAAAGAGTTTTGTAAGCATCAGGTGACTTCACCCTCAGTGAATAGTATCAGCCTTAAAGGACCCTAGCTCCTTGGCTGCTGGGTGTCCTGGACTTTGGATGCCTAGGGAGATACATAAGATGTCCTCCAAGCAGGTCTCTAACCAGGAGAAGCTCTATGAGTGTCTCAGCCCTGCAGACCAGTGTCTGGTTCTCTTCACAAGCTCAACCCATGCAGAAAGCCAAGATGTCTGCCTAATACAGCAGAATGGTTATGAGCAGGGACCTGGAGGGAGCCAAACTATGGCTTCTAACTGCTTGGCTGTGGGACCTAACAAGTTAATCCCTTTCTGTACTTCAGTTCTCCCATCTGTACAATGATGGTAATGACATCCACCTCTTAGTGTTCTTGTGAATCTAGGAATACACAGGAAGTTCTCATTAACATATTGCCTGGCACCAAATGTATGCTCAGTCAGCATGAGCAATTTGTATTAACATCATCTAAACTACTGCTCAAAGATGAAGTCTGCAGAGAACTGCTTGGGAAAAAAAGATAATTTCTTTACGACATTTCTCTCTCTCTTTTTCTCACACACATACACATATACACATCCTCCATGTCATTTGTCAGCAATGACTTCCAAAAGAATAAATTCAGAGGAGCTCAGTCCTTGCCTGCCTTTCTGGGGTCTTTGAGTATTTAAATCGATCAGGAAATCTCTGGTGGGCCCACTGAGTACACAGCTTTGAGTTTAAGGATCAGCTTTACCTCCTAAGAATTAGGACTTTAGCATAGAAGTTTAAACTGGTGAAGTCTCATTTATGGGTCTGTGTTTTAAAGAAATAATCTAGCCAGAGATTTAATCATCTCTTGTGTAATAAGATCATCCCTTTGTATACACACATGAAACTCAAACACATTGAGTCAGAACAAGCTCATAATTGACCCTCTACTGGGTTTTTGAGATTGTCCATCTTCCTCTTACAGAGCTGCTGGTGAAATCCAGCTGCCAGATATGAACTAACTTTAGATTAGCTGTGCAACTCCCTACAAATACACCATGAGAACACATACACTATATGTATATACATACACATATATAGATACCCACTGAGAGTCAGCTATGAGTTGGTTCCAACTTGATGGCAATGAATTGATTATGTGTGTGTATGTGTACAGATTATTGTTGTTAACTGCCATCAAGACAGAGATGACTCATAGTGATCCTATGAAAGAAAGACTTGAACACTTACATAACTTTTAACGTTTTTCTAGTTTCATAGAGTTTTCAAAGGCAAGCCATTTTGGAAGTGGATGTCACTCTGAAAGCTTCCAAGCTTGTTTTAATTGGGAAGCTCCACCAAACATTGTCCATCATGGGTAACCATCATCACATTTGACACATTAGTGTCACAGTGCATGTGTGTGTGTATTTCACTTTTATACATATATAGCACTATTTCTTTTATATAAGACAAGAGAAAAACACAAAGTAAAAGTTCTTATACTCATTTAATGAAATATTATGCAGCTATTAAAAGAGTGCACTGTTTTGATACACTATACCAAAAACAACAAAAAATGGTTGTTTAATATCAGGCGAAAAAAAATCCATTCAGAAATATCCACTCTATAATCAAAGGCTGAAGGATTATGAAAAAATGGAAAGAAAAATTAAGTTGGATCTACAATAGGTTTTAGTTTCTTTCGGTTTGTTATACAAACTAGCACAGAGATGATTGCCAAGCGGTTATCAGAAGGCTCATATCGAAACTGCACACTATGAAGATGAAGACGTTGAGTTGGCATTATCACCACTACAGGAGTGATACTTCTGGGCCAACAGAGTGAGACAAAAAGTCAGCCCTTCTCTTTGAACAGAGGGAAAACTTGAAAAACTTCTACAAGCTGGAAGCCACAGAACAAAGCATTTGCACTCAAACCTGGAAAAGTGCTTCATGTTTGTCTTGATAATGCCGGGAGATAAGGCTCGCACCCCAACGTGTAAACAGGATGCGGTTATGCTGAAACAAGGGCAGGAAGTCCATTTGTCCATTAGTTTCTGAACAGAACATGCTTTCCTCTTCATTTTGACTTTCATGTTTGGAAACTGCTGAGGGAAGCTCCAAACTGTAACCTCAGCCGAGCCTCATGGCTTCACAAGCCACAGACACAGCCATGTTTATTAAAGTGTAACGTTATGATCACCTTACACATGGGAGAGAGTTAAAGTCAACCTTTGCTCTTGGAAAGAAAAATAAAAGTGGTGTATATTCATTTTAATTATGTTTTTAGTTTACTCTTTGATGAAACTACAAGGATAAAATCTAACACGGTTCAAAAAATATGTTTAAAAACTGAAAGAAAAAAAAATTTATCAGAGAGAAAATTATTGACTTGGGACTTCTGAGAGGGTTTTGGTTGTTCTCTCTCTCTCTCTCTCTCTCTCTGTGTGTGTGTGTGTGTGTGTGTGTGTGTGTGTGTGTGTGTGAAATCTCCTTAGTTTTGCCTCCATAAAACGTTTGCAGATAGTTCCACACAGACACACAAATTCTGCTATGGAAACTAATTTACCTTTTTTTCCGTAAGGCAAATGTACTTGTTATACTTTCCCATGTAAAAGGGAAGAACAAGAAGACAAAGTTTAAACCTCTCGAAGGGGGAAATAAAGTCTTTCTGTTCCTATTCAGGGTTCTGAAACTGTAGTTTATCTTAAAAGAAGCTAGTGAAGAAAAAAAAAAAAAGATGCCCAAAAAACCACTGCATACAGAAAAGGCTGCATTTAGCTTTTTAAAATTCCGTCTCCACACCTCCTTTCCCAATGACATCAGCTGGAGGCTCCCCACCTGCCCAGTTGCCATAGCACTTACACAAATACATACAATGACATCAGTTGGCATGATATCAGCTCTTTGAGTACAAACAATACAAGAAGAATTACTTTGCTTAAAGCCTTTGGTGAGACTGTGTTCTGGGGAGCCAATGATGTAATGCTAACAGGTGGCATGAGCCTGCCATTTGCCTAATGGGGGGAAAGAGCCATGGGGAAGGGGAGGGATGGTGAGACAGACACACACAGAAAGCTCTGTATGGCAGGGGTACTGGGGCGCAAATTATACTTACTGTGTACATATAAGTCATGTGAGGACTCTGCACATACAGGGAGAGAGTGAAAAGGCAATACAATAATTTTACATATTCAGCTAGACAAGGAAATGTTCATCAAAAGGTCTAAATAAACAGTCTCCTTTGCGGTTACTAATGTACTGGTCAGCTTCATCATCACTTCACTAAGGGATAGGCACATCTATGCATATTCTACAAAAACCAAAAAAAATTCTGTGGACCTTGCCCATCATTTCCTGGTCTTTTCACTCGGATTCTTCCTTTTTCCTTGTCCTCCTCCCTCCACCCACCAAACTGTACAACCCTGTGGTTTCCTCCATACTTATCCTCACCCCTCTGCTCCCACCCTTCTGCCCCCGAGTTCCCATGCATGTTTTCATAGTTATCCTTCTATTTTTAAAATAATGGTCTTAATATGATGCATGATAATGATTGTATGAAACACAATGTGAATAAAGAATGGTGTGAGATGCAATATATACCGAACTTTTTAAGAAAGCCAATAAAAAATAATTCCTGATGTCAGGGGAAGAAAATACCAACAACTGTGGATAGTGCTTAACGGAAAAAGAATCAGGGCACTCAGTGGTGATACTTTAGAGTGAACTGTGTATGGACAGTTGTTTTCTTCTCATGGGGAGTTGGAAAGTGTAATTGAAACCCATGTGGGAGGAAGCAGGACTAAAACAATTTTCTCTTCCAACTAATTTCAGTGTTTTCACCTATATATATCACATACCAGAGGCTAGCTGAGCAAGTACTTACATAAAAACTTCAATTATTTTGTATTTACAATTACCATATAAAAATGCTGGAACACAATAGCCAAAACAGTAGAGAAAGGCGACATCACAGTGACAATCTAGGGGTTAGACGCAGACAGATCCAGGTGGTAAGCTGAGAAATCTGGTGAAAATCACTTTCCTTCATTAAACCTCAATTTATTTATCTGTAGATTGGACATAATATCATCTTCCCATAGAGCTAAAAGACAGACAAAAGGAAAGCTGGTGTAAAAGCCATCATATATTATCAAATGTTCATGAGTAATACATCTCTATCTAAATATCATCATTGTCATCCTCACTTTCAGCAAACCTTGTGATATAGTCCAGGAGAGTTTGCAGTGTACAAGGACTCAGAACAGTGGCTCTAAGGCCAGACCTCTGGGGTTTGGATCCCAGCACTGCCAATACTAGCCCAGACACCTTGGGAAAATGTCCCATCTCTCTATTTCTAAATTTCTCATCTAACAGCAAAGGATGGTGAAACATTTTCTTATAAAAGTTGGGCATGTTGTTAGAAGAGGCTAGTCCTTCATACAGGGGGCCATTTCTTAGAAAAAGATATCATGCTTGGAAAGGTGGAGGATCAGTAAAATGATCAGTAAAATAGAGGAGGCCCCTCAATAAGTGGTGGACCTTTAGCTGTAACAACAGGCTCAAGTACATAAGAGATGATGAAGATGGCACAGGAGAGGGCAAAGTTCAGATCTGTTGGTTCATAGGGTTACTATGAGATGTAGTCAACTCAATGGCACCTAACAATAACTATGAGGTTTTTCTATAACTAAGATAATAATAGCACCAACTTCACAATATTGTTGTGAGGATTCTATTGGTTAATAAAA